TTGGAGGCATTAAGAGCTTCAAAATTGGTTGTTCATGGTTGTTGGAGTATTGATGACAATGGCAATCTTGTAATTACTTGAAGATGATGAGGGTGAGAGAGTAAATATGTTATTTTCGAAAAAAAAAAAAATTGATGGCATTTTCGTGAATTATATGAACTTGTGGGGTGAATTGGGCAAAATAAAGTTCCAAAAAAAAAGGAGGTTAGTTTTGTGGTTGACTTCAAGTTTCAGGTCAATTCTGCAAAAAGCCCTAAGATTTTGTTGGATTTGTGTTTAATTATTTGACAAACTAATATATGCAAAGTTTCACAAATTTAAATTTATATTTCCTTCTCTATTATTAAATCTAATAAATTGATCTAATTTCAGTTTAAGTTATAAGTAGTAGTAAGAAAATAATTTTTGTTTAGTAATTTGTTTGAATTTTATGACAAATTTAAAATATTCATATACACCAATCTTCAAGCATTTAGTATTAGATAATTTAAACTTCAAACAAAATAATTTGTTTGAATTTTATGACAAATTTAAAATATTCATATACACCAATCTTCAAGCATTTTGATAAAAAAAAAGTATTAGATATTTGTAGATATCCATATTTTAAAAAAAATCACACATGAAATGAAGTCCTGACTTCTGCTTTAATATATAAGATGTGAGTTTGGTTAACTCGGTTTAGTATTTATTAAAAAAAATATATAAGATGTGAGTTTGGTTAACTCGGTTTTCTAAGTAAGTGATAGTCCAAATTAAAAAAGATGTCATGACTTCTGTTTTAATATATAAGATGTGAGTTTGTTTAACTCGGTTTTCTAAGTAAGTGATAGTCCAAATTAAAAAAAAAATTACATATGATATGAAGTCATGACTTCTGTTTTAATATATAAGATGTGAGTTGGGTTAACTCTGTTTAGTATTTATTATCGGTTTATTTGCTCGGTTTAGTGCGGTACCATGAATGATATAACTGCATACGTGCAATGCCACAAAATCCTCGTATATGTGTTCTTGGGCAGATTCTGGTCATGTAAAGGTAAGATAATGTTCTTATTATTTCAGATACGGGATCCTAGAGAAGCCATGAAGATATTATTTTGTCTGTTTGCCCGTATACGATATATGTGCCTCTTAGCAACTGGTTTGTGATTTTGTATTTGTAGATGGATGTGGGACATTAATGCTTTAGCAGAGTCAGAAACAGAAGGCAAAGATGGAACTTCACCGATTCTTAACCAAGCACCCTTAGTTAACTTTTCTGGCCACAAAGATGAAGGCTATGCTATAGATTGGAGTCCTGCAACCGCTGGAAGACTTCTTTCCGGTATACTTTTGTCTCAGAAATTTCAACAATACTTGAATAGTTACATTATATTTCAACATAGTCAATGTGTATTTAATTCTTTTCTCAACCATTTAGGGGACTGCATGAGTATGATTCATTTGTGGGAACCAGCTTCCGGTTCATGGACAGTTGATCCTTTTCCGTTAGCCGGACACACCGCAAGTGTTGAAGATATACAAGTAAAATTCTCGCTTTGCAGCTAAATTGTGTTGATTGATACTGTCTCCTTTCGGCTTAATACTCTTTCCTCTGTTTCCAGTGGAGTCCAGCTGAAGCCAACGTGTTTGCGTCATGTTCTGTGGATGGGACTGTTGCAATTTGGGATGTCCGAGTTGGGAAGTCGCCTGCATTATCTTTCAAGGCACATAACTCAGATGTGAATGTCATCTCATGGAACAGGTTCTCTTGTCACTTTGATGTGTAACTTGGTTTTGTGTTACCCGCAATTGTCTCATTTGTTATGTTCCTCTTTCATGAAGGCTGGCTAGTTGCATGTTGGCGTCAGGGAGTGATGACGGGACATTCTCTATCCATGATCTTAGAGTAATCAAGGTACGTTGAAGACCAAATATTTTATAATTTCCATATGAACATCTTAACAAGATTGTGATGTGATAGAATTTAAATTTGAACTAGGATGGAGATGCTAAGAGCATGCCCATTAGTGAACCCCCTCTTGGGGTTCACTAGAATTTTTTATTAATTTTCGGGTAGGACCGTGAACAGTGTTGAACCCCAAGTTTATTTGCTATTCCATTAGTGAACCTCGAGATCGGGTTCTTATGAATAAAAAAAAAAAATTTCTTTTAAAAATGTATTTAAAAAATTGAGAATTCTTAAACATATATAGGTTAGTAAAAAAAGTTTATTCAATACATTTAAAAAAGGTTAATAATATTTTTTTTTTCTTTTAAAAATGTATTCAAAAAATTGAGAATTCTTAAACATATATAGGTTAGTAAAAAAAAGTTTTTATTCAATACATTGGGAAATCATAAACTTACATTAATTTCTAAAAAAGTTTTTATTCAATACATTGCCTCTTCATAAACGTACGAATATTATTCTAGCTGATTACCAAACTTTTGCCAAATGTTTTCAACTAAATCAGCTTGGAGACGAGCATGTGTCTATTGATCCCGAATCTGATTGCGAATGCCAAGCATATTAGCGATATTTGTAGGGGTCTCGGTAGAGTACGACAAATCAACCTGGGAACTTCTGCTTGACTCTCCTGCTACGAAGTCAGATGTATCATATTGCGTGTAGCTGTCTCGTTCGTTCTCTACTATCATATTGTGCAGTATGACACAAGTTCTCATTATCCTTCCTATCTTTTCTTTGTCCCATAGTAGGGGTGGGTTTTTAACTATTGCAAACCTAGCTTGCAGTACTCCAAAAGCACGTTCGACATCTTTTCTGACGGATTCTAAACGCTGAGAAAATAGCTCGGCTATATCACCTTGAGGAAGTGGGATAGATTGGATAAATGTTGACCATTTCGGATAGATTCCGTCTGTAAGGTAGTACGCCATATGATAATTGTGGCCATTGACCTTGAACTTAACTTTAGCAGCTCGGCCTTGTAAAATATCATCAAAAACTGGTGACCTATCAAGAACATTAATATCATTGAGGGTACCTGGAGCTCCGAAGAATGCGTGCCATAACCATAGGTCATGGGAAGCCACTGCCTCTAAAACAATTGTCGGCTTTCCTGAACCACGTGAGTATTGGCCTATCCAAGCCGTTGGACAGGTTTTCCATTCCCAATGCATACAGTCGATGCTGCCTATCATCCCTAGAAACCCGCGTACCTCTCCAACATCGAGTAATCGTTGAAGATCATCAGCAGTCGGTCTCCGTAGATACTCATCTCCGAACAATTGTATTATCCCGATGGTGAAATTTTCCAAACATAAAAGTGCAGTACTCTCACCAAGTCGCAGATATTCGTCATATGTATCTCCGGATTGACCATATGCCAACATACGTATAGCTGCTGTACACTTTTGTAGGGCAGAAAGACAGTACCTGCCATGAGCATTTCTTCTTTGCTTAAAGTATGGAACCTCATTATTTAGGCGATCGACAATGTGAAGGAAAAATTGCTTGTTCATGCGAAAACGGCGCCTAAACATTTCCGGTGTATATGTAGGACTTTCGCTAAAATAGTCGTTCCAAAGCATATTGTGACCTTGTTCCCGATCTCTTTCGATATAAGCTCGTCTCCTCGGGATGTTGGCTTGGTCATTCAACACTGACTCAAAAACTTGATCAAAGTGTTGGTCAAACACTTCTTCGAAGGCTTCGTCTAGTCTTTCATCAAGATCATCAGACGATGAGTTTGACATTGTAATTCTTTTGTGTAGAAAAATGAGTTAAGTGTTTGATAATGTAGCTAAGTGTTTTGAAAAGAAAGTATGATATGGCTTGATATGTGGTCTACCCCATTTTGATCAAGAGATACAAGGTTTTTTAGAGATATAAGAAGTTGTTTTTCGATAAGTAAAAAAAAAAGAAGTTGCAAAGCTAAAAAAAAGAGAGGCACTACAACTTTTGATAAAATAGAGGAACTACAAATTCTGTTAAACTGAACGAGGTACATAGTTTTATAGAGTTTTACATATTGCAAAGTACATGCTTTCTCGTGAACGAAAGCTTTCCGACAACTACAACCCGTGAAAAAGAGTACAACAACCCGTGAAATAAAAGTGTAGAAAGCAACAAAATTCTACACTTTTCCGTGAAACAGAGTACAACAAACCCGTGAAATACATATGGTACAAAAACCCGTGAAAAAGAGTACAACAACAGAGGACACCCCGTGATCAAAGCCCCTCCGTGACAACCTAATGTGAACTGCACAATAAGAGGAAACAAGCAACATTCTATCAGTCTTTTTAACAAACAACAACAAGCAACATATTTTAAAAAAAAACTAAGTCTAGAGCAGGAAGCACCATGTTATCAGTAATAAGAATCAAGCAACTAAATATTTAAAAAAACCTAAGTCTAAAGCAGGAAAACACTAACAGGATATCAAAGCAATTCGGCAATTAGTTTGTTCTTTAGTGACACTTCAACTTCAGAGATATTGTCTTTTTGAGCAATGAGACGTTCTAGGATTTTGTGTTTCGATATGCTCTGTCTCATAGCTAACATGCCCTCTAGCTTATCATACGCAGCTTCTTTGCCATGTCTCTTGCGTTTGGCTGCTTTAGCAGCCTTCACACCTGAAGGCCTCATCTCTTCCACGTCAGGCACGGCGTCCTCAGGATCCTTTCTTTTTTCCTTCGTACCATCTTTGGAGAGACAGTTTGATCTCCATTTTTGATCAAACCGTAGTTCCCTCCAGGCATATTCAAGGGTGAACTTCGCCTTGTGGTCACTTAGGAAGATGTCATGGGCAGTGTTCAAGAGATCATTATCATTCTTGCCACTTCCTTGGTCCTTCAAAGCAGCCTCAGAGCAACCCACAAACTTGCACACCTCTGCAATACACCTTGGGGGTAAGCCACTTGAGTTGAAATACACCTCGATCCTCTTCCAGAACGCTCCTCCCTTCTGCTCAGTACTCACAATCGGATCTTTGCTGGTATTCAACCAAGCACTGATGAGGATAATGTCCTCCTTTGGAGTCCATTTCCTCCTTTCTACTGGTTTTGGATCGTCTGAACTCTGGCTACTAAACCTAGGGATCTCGGGAGACTCTAAGTCTATTGTTTGACTGCTCTGTGATGCTAATAGATTAACAAAGCCTGGAGAGTTTTGGGAGTAGGGATCCATGATGGTTTCGTTGGTGTTTTAGGTTTTGTTTGTGTTTTAGGTTTTTTGGTTTGGGTTTACCTATCTTTTTAAAGAAACTCTAACCACCAAACAGTCATTATACTTAATGACCATTCATTACAGCGAACAACCAACAGAGAATTAATGCAAAAGTACTTCTTATTCAATTTTGCATTTTTGGTTAAGTATACTCGTAGTTATTTTAAAGCAACAAGCAACAACCAAGTTTAATGAGACAAGCAACAACCAATTTTAGTTATAGTTAAGTATATTCGTAGTTATAGTTACTATATTCGTACTTATAGTTACTCAATTTTAGTTACACAATTTTAGTTTCTAGTTATTATATTCGTACTTATAATTACTTCTGATCGTAGTTATTTTAAAGCAGGAAACAACCAAAGTCTTCTGATCGTAGTTACTTCTGATAGCTACTTCTAGTACACATCAAATCAGGACCCGAAACCTAAAATTAACTACAACGAATAACTAACACAGCAACATTAACAAAGACTTCTACCACAATTTTTAACATTAATGAGACAAGCAATTCATGTTATTTTAGTTTAGTTCTACTTCATCAATTCATGTTATTTTGTATGTTTATTGAGATTGAGGCTTACCTGTTTTCAGCCGAAACAGATCTTCTCCAGATCAGCAACCTGTCCAGTGAGAATTTGCACCTGCTCCTGCACATGGAAATCAAAAAAAATAGAACTATGTTAATAAACAACAACATCATCAGCATTAACACTAACCTCCAGTGTTGAAATCTGTTTATGGAGACTGGCCATTTCGGTGATCACTTTCTCAGCGTCATTCACTCGCTTACTCAACCTTTCCAGCTCCTCCTGGACACCAAACACCCAAGGATGAAGATAATGCAACCCATCATCCTTGGTGAAAACAACGAAACACATATTAGAATCTGTATAATTTAGTAAATAATAATGAACAGTTATTAAGCGAATGAATGAGTTGTTTTTTTACCTCGTAGTTACTGCACGTGAAGAAACGCTTGCCAGGAAGGGTGTCATAGTCCTTGTTCCCGCGAAGCTCATCAATGATTGTCGAACCACAGGGACACCTCGCCGGAATCCCAAACTGTGAATCAGCCACGAAACCAACCATGTCGTAGTACTCCTTGTGCCTCTTCATATCTCTTCTCTCTTCTGGATCCATCTGTATCACAAAGTAGAAAACAAAATATGAGACAAGTTCATAAACCAATATATCGAAGATAAAAATATGAGACAAGTTCATAAAACGTAATCCCCATACTCAAGGCGAACCCTAAAATCAAACCCCCAAATCGATTTAAAATCCATTGCAAAGGAACCCTAAATCGAACCTCCCTCAACATATTCTACCATAGAAAGGAAATCCCCATACTCGATTTTGAAAAACCCAAATAAAAATCCCAAAATCATTGAAGAACCCTAAATCAAAAACCCCCAAATCTATTTCGAATCGACGGTAAAGAAACCCTAAATCGAACATGCATGTGGATTTGAAACCATAAAACGAAACCCCTTTAGATTTACAACCCAAAAATAAAAAAAACAGATCAATCGATCTCGAAAACCCTAGATCCCTTCGACACCAAATTGATTCTATTTGTTTGGGGGTAGTACACGATACTCACCGGAGCTCTGTGAGGAGATCTTCCGTCGTCGATATGAAAGATGGCTCCGGATTCACCGTCGGATTCACCGTCGCAAGCAAAATCGCCAATATCGCCTCATAGAGAAGAAAAGCGTAGAGAGGAGAGA